CAATCAGCACTTTATTTTGTTTTCTTTTTAGTTACTGCGCAATTACAAGTTGGAATATAATCACAAGCCATTGGATTATGCCGTGACGTTTATGTATGCTCCTGATGGCCCATTGCGGTTTAAGATGACCAGAGCGGAATAATCGCTGGCATTGCATTTTAAGACTTTTATATTTAAGCGTTCGTTTATACACGATTTTATGTTGAATTCGAATATACATATGTATGTGTAAAGACATACATATATGCGTATGTATTTTCCATTATGCAATTATTATTTTATTTTACCTATTGTACAAGTTATATTTAGCATAAAAATATATATTAATTTAAAACATCTCCAAATATTAGTAAAATTTATTTGTTAATATATTCAAGGTAGTGATGGACAAGATATCCCCACTCAATTGGCATTGATTACTGTCCAAGAGAACTTTACTTTCTCTTGTTTACCATATTATAGAAACTGCGATATCCCTTACCTAATTGAAAACTACATAGAAAAATAGTTATGTATCACATATAGCCTAGATACAAAAATAATATTCTTTATTTACTTCATGTGCATGAAAACTATATTTCAACTGATTCTCGTCGTCATTTGTATTGGCGATTTTTAATCTATTCTATTCACTTTCCGATATAATTTTGAAAGTACAATGATGCCTTACTTTCGCTTCCATGCTCGGTACCAACTTTTTACGGATTTCAAACTTTGTTCAGCATCCAGTTTGGTCTCACCTTTTAATTCAACAACAATATCTGGTTTATATGAATCGCGTGCCTCTTCTAGCACTGTTCCAAAAATTTCACATTCAAGATTTGATTTTAATTTCTTTTCATTGTATCCACGTTCCTTCAGACGATCAAAAAGTATAGTATTGGAACATGTAACTACAAAAACTGCTTCAAACCATCGTTCAGGGAAAAAGTCGCATCCATGATATTCAACTATATTTCCGCCTTGCTGCATAAATGGCTCCAAGTAGTCCATTAGCTGAAGGGAATGTAAATATACATATGTATGTAAGTAAATTTGTACATATACGTACATATGTAACTCCGTTTATACCTTGTCTTCATCAAGAATGGGACAATCGTACTCATCATCATACTCTTCCACAAAGTTGTGTTCCTTAGCAATTTTAGAGCAATCCAACCATTTTAATTTTAATTGATCGGATAACCTTTCACAAAGATACGACTTTCCCGCACCTGGCGTTCCTGTAATAAATCAGCTCAGTAAATTAGCGATTCTTAAACTCAAATATATAATAGACTTGACTCTTCTGCCTTTACCTGTTATCAATATATTTGGTTTAGCGTCCACCTTCTCATCTGTTGTGGCCATTTTTTTTAATAATAAACTATTCGTATTTTGTTTACAAGTGCTAATTTACTTAAACTTGCACAGCGCATGTTTCAGTAAGTTTCGGTTGATTCAGAGAACGTACGTTCTCTGCTTGTTTGTATTAAATGTCAAAAGTGAGAATAAATAAACAACAATATCTCAGACAAAAAGTATCCACCAAAATTCCTCAGAATAAACCCATTAGTTTTCATATAAAGTGGCTACCTCAAATAATTTTACTTCTTCCTAAAACGATTGTAATTTTTAAATTCTTATTGGTCTTATTCTATATATTTTAGCTTTTATTCAGAAAAATATCAGTGAAATTAAGTTTAACTTGCTGGTGTTAAAACATATATATGCCAACAAAAACATTTCTGTAACGATATCTTTTGGATGCAACTTATGTCAGTCTTAAAAAGTTAGCTTGTGCTAAAGTAACAAAATAGTAACAGTTGTTTTTTTAAATGGATTTATTTGTTGGAGCATAAGGTGTATTAATCTCAACAACTCAAGGTCAGAAAGTACGAAATATGGAGCATAGCCAAAACATCATTCCGTAAGTAGATTTCCTTTGGTGCGGGTCGATGGATCCTCGCTGAATTGATATTTTTCTAATATCAATAGTGTGGACGTATTACGGTTTTATGGTAGGCTTGAAATGGAAATAAATAAACCCACGCTCGATTTAGCAAATCTGCCGACCACCGATGGGATCGCTTTAGAAATGGCTAATAAAGTGTGTTTGGGGAATTCTGCTCAAACTAAGCAGAAAATATCTCTAGATACTTCAATATCTTCTGACAAAAGAATAGTCCCTGATACTAACTCACGCAATGTTCATATTCCTTACATACTCAACGGGGAGTTGTTTGAGATACAGACTCAAGACGGTGAAAATGTAACTGTTAAATGTTGTAATTGCCCACCAGATCGCGTATATCGTGGTAGCGTGCGATCCACAGGCAATTTCCATATGCATATAAAGGTAAAAAGCAATACGAAAATAACTGAACAAATTTATTTGCGCAAAATTGAATTACTAATTATTGTACTATTTCAAATTGTTAAGAGGCGTCATCCCGATTTAATGGGAAAAATATATGATATGAAAGTGAATGCCTTGGTAGAAAGGAGAGATCGATTTCTGCGCAATCGTAAATCCACACGTCGTCGTAATACCAACGCCAATGGAAGTAGTACATCTTCGTCGCGGAATGAACAGCGATTGGCCTGCCCGGTGCAACCTACATCAGAATTATTTAAAATTAAAGCCGCGTTTCAACGGCATCAGCTACAGCAACAACAACAAAATCGTATACAACAACATCAAAGCGAGCAACAACAGAAAAGGAAGAAAAACTCGAGCATCTTGCATAAGGTAATAAACCGTGTTATTATTATTTATCATACAACTGACAAATATAAGCAAAATCATTAATTTGTATAGTAGATTACTGCAAAAATATTTATATTAAATATCGCATAGCAAAGTTGTTTTTATAAAAACAATCTCATTTAATTCAAGGACAAAAGAATATTAAGAAACCGTTACGAACATATCAGCAATAAAATCCATGCTTCTCATTAGAGAAACTTAGACCACAACAAACCGTTAAAATATCTTGCGCTTCGTTACTGACGCTGATTTTTCACATTTTTTTTTTTTTTTTTTTTTTTTTTTTTTTTTTTTTTTTTTTTTTTTTTTTTTTTTTTTTTTTTTTTTTTTTTTGTTATTGTTGTTTGCATCTCGGAGTATTTCACATTAACTATTGCCATTTTCACTCTCCCTTTTACAGTGGAATGTGATCGATCACTTTCTCATTACACCTGCTTTTGAGAGAGCACGGGATATAACACTAATGGAAGCCTATAATGAGCAGCCACTCAATTACAGTCTCAAGCAAAACACCGTTTCAAATATGAGTAGTACAGAGAGAACACAAGAGATCGATGCAAACGATGCTAATACGTCCGACAGTTTGCATCCAAATAACATTTCAGTGAGTATCGACAAGGCATTGTTTTCCTTATGAAATAAACATATGCCATTTTACCCTAGGGAACAATAGACACAAGCGAGCACATAACGGGTTATGAAGTAATGTCCACGTACAACAAAGCAAGCAATAGCGGTATGAATTGCATGACAATAAATCAACGAACTCAAATAGAGATGTCTCCCTTCGCTTTCAGCCAACCTGAGGAGCACGTGCCACTTTATGCTAACAATAGCGATCAGTCGTTGCTCGGTCGCGCTACAACTTTAAGTGCTGTAACCCCATGTCCGAGTGATGTGAGCAGTTACGATGCTGGTCAAGATCTTGGTGGCAGGTCATATGATTTGAACTGCAATCACGTGGGTAGCATGATTAAGAATGAACTACTGTTAGCCGAAATACAGCCAATCGATCTCTCTGTACATCCCACATCTTCTGGGTTGTCAGGTTCCTCTGGATTCAGTTCCGGCGTAGATGCCACACAATATTCAAATGACACCACACATTTCAATACGTCTGTTGGCAATACTAAATCGGATGAAATTATTTTACAACTGTCCTCCTCATTACAGAGTTTGCATCGTGAACTGCAAACGTATAATCAAACTAATAACAATTGGCTTTGCTTGGAAATAGCAAAATTTAAATTTTTGCATCCTGAATTTGAATATCATAATTAGAAATGTTGGTATTAACTAGCAGGTCTAGGAACTAATTTGGATATTATTTGGAAAAAAATATTTGTGGTACTTGAATTGAAGTATAGATCATTTAGTAAGTACCTTAATTATACTATATATATTCAGTTAAACTATTCATTTTAAGCCTTGACCCGATATTTATTCACTAATATAACTAAGCTCACAGTTATAATCATATCTACCTTTCAGTTCTGAATTAAAAGTTTAAGTTAAGAATGAAGTTATTTACGTTATAATCAGCAACTTGTTTGTGTGATATCTGTACAAATACATGGACTTATATTTCAATAAAATGAAAAGTTAGAAGTAGAAACTGTTATCAATTTCATACATGCTGAGAAATTATTCGATGGTCGTCATGATAATACTGAGTTTCTGCTAAGAAAATTTGCACTTTTTGTCCTTTTCTTTATATTCATAAAAGATGTCTATCATACTTTATTTGTATGTACATATTAAGATTCCATTTGAATGCACACAAGTTAGAATGTACTCGAAGCCTCCACGAATCAATTTCTATTTGAAGATATTGAAAGGAAATTAATTATCGCGAGTTTTGCATTTTTTATACTCATCTACACTCGCGGATTCTGTGTAAGTCACCACCGCTTATCATTTAAAGTCATTCGGGGTTGTTTCCACAAGTTTCACCCAAGACGAACCCTCATGCATAACTACAAAAAACTGCTCTCCACTCTCGCAAGGGTGTTTTTTACATGCATAATTGTGCCCCTGCCAGCTGGCCTGACTAACGATATACCTACCCCTTCTACCGTCGCGCTTTACACAATCTTACCACATGGGTATTGTTTATGATTTAAAAAAGAGACACAAAAGCAGGTACGTGCTCGTGAACTCCAAACATAAACTCCGACAGAATTATGTATGTAGATAAGGGTAGAAAAAAGTAATCTCGCTTTTTTACTAATTACAATGATATCGAGAAACGTCGAGCCAGCAAGGAGGAAATCTTAATTTTTGGAAATCAGTTGCTTGGCGTATTTCATCTCAGCCACAATTGTTCTCCAATATTATTAAACAGTTTTTATTGCTAAGTTACAGTCATTCAAAGCCATTCAAATATGGAAAATAAGAAGGAGTATTTACGTTGTTTGATGCTTTTCTATTTCCGCAAAAATAAAACAGCTACCGAGACGAAAAGGAAGATTTGTGCGGTGTATGGCAATGATGCTGTTAGTGAGCGAGTGGTACAAATTTGGTTTTCAAAATTTCGAAAGGGCGACACAAGTTGTGTGGATGGGCAACGTACTGGTCGTCCTGGAGTGGCAGATTGTGATAAAGTGAAAATGTTAATCGAAAGAAATCCACATTTTACTACAAAAAAAATTGCCGAAATAATTAGTTTATCAGAAAAAACCGTTGCGGACTACTTACAACGTCTGGGATATGTAGTTAATGGGGATGGTTGGCGCTTTGACGAATCTGCTCCAAAATGTAATGACAACAACAGCAACAAATCACTTAATGATGAGGAGACAAGTGTTGCAGAGACGGAAGCAATCGGTTACTGCAACGAAGAATTTGCATACGAACATGCTCTCAATTGTAATGTTCAAATCGCCCCAACGGAAGAAAGCAGCCTCACCCCCCGTCCACCATCTGCTTCTTTCGCGGATTTTACATACATTGAAAATGATAACTACCACGATATTATAATAGCAGGAAAGGAAAATGATAACATTGGCAACACCGGTTCAACTACTTTGCCCTCATTTTCGGAATTTTTTTCCAATATGTAAGAAAATAACATTAATAATTACTTCACATAGACATGGTTTTTATAAAAACAAATAAATATTATATTTCAATTATTTTCAGTTATACCAGTTACATTAGGGGGGACGACGGATATTGTGCAATCGAAAATATAAATATCAACTCTGTGGATACTTTTAATGGTGGATACCCGTTAAAAAGTTACGATTAAATTATAATCTAGTCAAAAAAAAAAAAACTGAAAAATGTTGCAATCAAAGAAGACTTATTATCTTCGAAATCCTGCGAAGAAACTTAGGTCTCTAATAACAAACACATAGTTCCTCTTTACTGCGAGTATACACTAATTTATTCTATTATTATATACATACGTTTTTAATCAAATTTTCAAAGAGCATTTACATACTCTTTGTATAACAATGTTATTATTTCAATATTTATTATTTTTAATGTAAGCGCCATGTGAGGCGCCACAATTTATATAAAGAAAATAAAATCATAATCTAAGCGAAACTTGATTCCTATTTAAATGGCCTAGAATAAAAATGTATATTTTACGACCAACAATTTGAAGTTTTACTTCTTACATTAAAATAAAAAAATAACCAATAGATAAATTGATCTGCTAGTCATTCGTAGTACGAGTATAAAAAAAAGGAATCTCTATAGAATCATATAGAGATTCTTTTCATTTCAACTGAACTCGCTTCAGAATGACCGAATTCACTTTTCAATGAGGTGGGAGAACATTATAATACATTTTTCAATTTGATTGGCTCTACATAAATATGCATTACCAATTTTCACTTTACAGAATACGAATTGATAATAAAATTGTATATTTTTCATAGTTTTGGTATTCCCCGTTTTATTTTTTACATACTATCATTTTCTTCATTTTTTAAAATATGCTAATATATAACAGAAACTATACACGCTATACAAAGTTGCGTACGACTGTACAGACACCTACAGAAAGTTTCCGCAAGCAATACATACATTACTATTCATACATTCTGAATATTAAAAAAAAAAAACATATATTTTTTTTATTCAAAAACGAAAATTCAATAAATTCCCGTCGAAAATTGCTCTAGCCCGCTTTAATATAACATCATATATGAAGAGAATCTACAGACAACATTAGCGAAAGCCACAAAAATGACTACCTGTGAAATAATTTTGCCATTAAAATTGCAACCCTGCGCGTAAGCAAAATTTTTGGTTGATAAGATTTTTTAAAAGACTTGTTATTCTTATACTTTAGTTATAAAGCAACTCGTTCATTAAAACTTAACAATGAAAAAGGCTGATGACGTAGAACATCTGATTGATATCGATTCGAGCCAGGACGAGGATGATATTAGTTTACACAAAAGTAAACCTACAAAAGTTTGGAAGTCAAAAGATGATGCACACAAAGAAATGCAGGAGCAAGAGACCGAAGACGACGACGATGAACCTTTGGCAATACATCCAAGAGGTGCGGAGCCAACTTCGTCTGGGGTAAGCTTATTTTACAATCAAAAATTAGCTTGTTATGTTTCCATAAGTTCGTTGTCTTGTATTATACCCACAATGAGTCATTATCTCCCCTTATTACCATATTCAACGCTTATTCTACAAACACTAATCTTCGTTGTTTAAAATAGTCACATCGAGGCGGTCAGGAGCCACCAGGTGCCGATACAAACACTATTTCCATACCGTCGGAAAATAATAGTCTGAGATCAACACATAACTTAGAGGCCCATGAAGGAAGAGCCAATGGAACACACACAGAACCAACTTTTTATATTCGTTCGCGTACAAACACTCTAAACACCACTGCGCTTAAAGATGATGTCTACGAGGTTCGTATTAATGCTTATTTTTGCTACAGTTTCTTTTAAAAATATAAATTTCTCAATAAATTGACAGAGTTTGGATTATGATGTATGTGATAACGTACTATTCAAGGAAGATCAAAAATTCTCCGACAATGCGCGTTTTAACATTCGAAAAGATATTCTGCGTTGGATAATATTTATACAAATTGGTGTTGTGACCGCGCTAATCGCCTGCGTAATTGACATTCCCATTGAAGAGTTGTCTGCAGTAAAATACACGTTTCTCAAAAACTGTACGAACAATAATTTCTAAATGCGTAAAGTCTTTATACTTTATTTATCCGAAGTACTTATGTGTATGTATATGTAAATGCAAAATTCTAACTTTTCAAACAATAAATTCGGAAAATACGGTTTTAATATTTTTTTTACGAATAACGGACATGAAATAAATGTATAACGCAATGATTTTATTTCTAGCTGTTGACAACAACGTTGCTGCTAATATCAACCCCGGAGGAAATTTGGTTATACCGTATATCTATTGGATGGCAATGAGCATTATACCAGTGGTATTGGGTGCAGCGTTAGTAACTTATGTGGAGCCAATAACTGCTGGTAGTGGAATGCCTCAAGTAAAAAGCTATCTCAACGGTGTTAAAATTCCTCGAATTGTTCGTATAAAAACACTGGCTGTAAAAGCGGTAGGTGTGGTAACCGCGGTAGTAGGCGGACTGGTGGGAGGAAAGGTGATTTTCATGTAATTTATATAAAATGCTTACTATTAATATGGTTTCAAAATGAACAGGAAGGTCCAATGGCTCACGCCGGCGCCGTAGTTGCGGCGGGTATATCGCAAGGAAAAAGTACAACATTTGTTAAGGATTTTCGAATTTTTCGAGCTTTTCGTGATGATCATGAGAAACGAGATTTTGTATTGGGTGGAGCTGCTGCTGGTGTTGCTGCTGCTTTCGGCTCTCCAATCGGCGGAATGTTATTCTCGTTGGAGGAGGCAGCTAGTTTCTGGAACCAAAATCTTATTTGGCGAACCCTGGTCGCATCAATTATAAGTTCGTTCACGCTAAACATTGTCCTATCAGCATATCATGGTTTGAATAATTTTACTTTTACGGGCCTATTTAATTTGGGCAAATTCGAGCAACCCCTAACATTTGAATATTTCGAGTTACCTATATTTATGTTATTCGGCGTAACTGGTGGTCTCTTGGGTGCCATGTGGAACTCATATAATACGCATATCAACCGATTTCGTTCACGTTTCATTAAGTTCAAATTTGCACGAATTCTAGAAGCAGCACTTGTGGCAGTGATCGGTGTGACGTTGGCATGTGCTATGATTTTTTTCATAAATGACTGTCGCCCACTCGGAAATGACCCAACCGATTATCCAGTACAAGTAGGAATCAATTTAAATATAATATATATAGCATTTTAGCTTATCTAAAAATGATCCCATAACATTTGCAGCTCTTTTGTGAGGATAATGAATACAACGCAGTCGCAGCACTTTGGTTTCAAACACCGGAGGCGACTGTACGTTCACTCTTTCATGATCCACCAGGTACAGAAATGTATACAATAATTGACTTCTGACTGATTTTCCTGTAATCCATATCATGTTCAACTTTTTTTTCGTTTTCTTATAGGCTCGCACAAAATATTAACACTGACGGTATTCACATTAGTTTACTACTTTCTGGCTTGCGTTACTTTTGGTCTAAATGTATCTCTTGGCATATTTATACCAACGGGGTTAGTAGGAGCCGCTTGGGGCCGTTTAGTGGCCATGATCATTTTCTATATTTTCCCTGAAGCGGTAATTGAAAAGAGTGAAGATAATCGTAAATGCTATCTTACTCATACTTTCTTCTTTAGACATTTTTGAGTCCAGGTAAATATGCCCTCATCGGCGCAGCGGCCAATTTAGGTGGAGTGCTGCGTATGACTATTAGTCTTTCAGTCATACTCATGGAGACAACCGGTGTGGAGACATCATTTTTCTTCCCCCTGATTGTGACACTAATTAGTGCAAAGTGGGTCGGAGATTACTTTACTGAGGTGAGCTATTTTTTAATTTTACAAATATTTTAAAGTAAAATTTTATTGCCTACATTTAACTATAATACGGAAAATTGCAAATTTGTAGGGCATCTACGACATTCAAATCAAAATGAGCTGTGTGCCGCTATTGCCATGGGAGCTTCTACCGAAGTATAAAGGGCTCAAAGCTTCAGAATTAATGAGTACGCCTGTTGTCTGCATTAAGAAATGTGACAGTGCCAAGTACATATATAAAGTACTGCGGCGTTGTAAACATAACGGTTTCCCAGTAGTGGAGGATGTGAAGGGTGTTAGTAAAATGCAAATTTGACTTTTATATTTTAAATTATATGTCCTTATGTTCTGCTGTTCAGAATAATCGAGCAAATGGTCGAGTTTGCGGCATTGTTTTGCGCTCACAACTGATTGTGATTCTGCTCAATTCATTTTACGAAGAAAAGAAAAACTTTTGGGAGAAAGAAGTTTCAATACAAACCTTCAGGAACGTTTACCCACGTTATCCGTCAATTGACGTAAGTAAACCAATTTAACTTTACAAACGCGCAAATAATCTAAATATTTTGACCCTCATATTCCAGAGCGTGCGCTTGCCAAATGAAAAAGAAAATTACACTGTGAATTTGGAGATTTTTATGAATCCGTCGCCAGTGCGCGTTAGTCAAGTAAGTTTTCTATAATTTGATTAGGTTAAAAGATATTAATTTACGCATGTTTTAGTGTGATTCAGCATCAAAGATATTTAAGAAGTTCCGGGCGCTGGGCTTGCGTCATATGATTGTKATTGATCGTGAAAATCGTGTTGTTGGTATTATTACGCGCAAGGATTTTTTGTATAAATAATAATTTGCATGAACCTATGTTTCCAGTATAAAATATGACTGTGTTATTATAATATGCAGTCGCAGTATAAATATCCAGCTGTGGATTATACGATTTTATTTTTTCGAATAACTTCTTATATTCTCATACATTAATCCCGTTAACTAATTTGACTATTTACTTTATTGTGTAGTTTTCTAGTAATCGATATTCATTTATACCCTTAATGTATTTTTGTACTTGATATATACTGTAAATTGTTTAATATATTCTAAAGTACGGACTGAACTCCGAAGTCACGTAGGAGGATAAAAGCTAATGTTTTAATACTGAAAACCGGTTAGTTGTGGACTAGTCAAGTTTGTATTTTATTGTTCGATATTTTTTACAATGGTCGTTAAGCGTCGATATTAGAAAAATCGTGTCGATTATATTCGGAACAGCGCATATAAAGTTTGTCACGAAGTTTGCAACACTCCGAAGGAAACGTCCGAGACGCTATGAATTATGTATATAAGTATATATAATATATATGATCAACACGATGAGCTGAGTCGATTTAGCCACGCTCGTCTGTTTGTCTGTATATACGTGAACCAGACCGGTTTTGAGATATCGATCGAAAATTTTGCAAACGTTTTTTTTCCTCGAGACCCCGCTTATTTGTCGAAGCAATCGACATCGGACCACTGTACCGTATAGCTAACATACAAACTGAACGATCAAAATCAAGTTTTTGTACTAAAACTTTTTTTTTGTTTCTGAGGAATAATATAGTTCTGGTGCAACCGAAGT